AAAACCCAATGGATCTAAATGGGTCTTTTAAAAGAAAGACTAATATGAAAGACAATATACAATGCAAGTTTTAAGGAATATGAATATTCAATTTTGATGGTATAATCAATAGAGTCGATTTTATAAAAAAAAAAAAAAAAAACTAATCTCCATCATTGCAGGCTATACGTCTATGTAGTTTTTTTTTACTTGACAATTGTATTAGTGAAAAGAGTAAATTATCATCTTTATTTTATCCTGGCAACTTCACTTTTTGTTAGCATCTATTTGGAACTTAATTGGCTCAATTCTAACCCTTAGGATTCTTCATTATTAATTGATCATCTTTGAAGAATCATGGAATAGTCTGACTAACTTCTTCGATAAGTAAATTGGTTGAAAATATTAATTATATATAGGGTAATTTTTATGACGATGGTGATGATGAAATAACCTTTTATTAATTTGTATATAAAAATTAATAGTTTTTTTATACAATAACGTACAAACAAACTGCATGCTACCACGTCCTTCTTGCTAAAACAGTCAAACCCCTCGGATCATCCAGAGAAAGGCGAGGACAGCAACATATATGTTGAAACAATTGTCTCGATTACTTCGGGAGGGATACGTCATTAATGGCTCATGCAGTCGGAGTTGTGAAAATCAAAAGTCTTGAACATTTAGGTTGCGTTTGTTTATTCTTATCATTTGTATTTGTGGTGTAAAAAATATAGTAGGCATTTGATAATATGTTAAACTATGTTTTATATTGTGGGGCTTATTAAATAATTAATTTTAAAATGTATTTTTTATATGTTTTTTTAATTGAGTTTTGTAAAATTTTATTTATTTTTGCATTTTAAAAATATTTTTTTTTAAAATTTAATTCTTTTTAATTTTTTTTATTTCAAATTAATTTTTTTTTATTTTCAGATCATTTTAATGTACTGATGTCAAAAATAATTTAAAAAATAAAAATTATCTTGATGCATTTTCAAATAAAAAACACTTTTAAAAAATAATAACAACCAACCATTTTATACATGTTTTTTATTATACATAAACCTCAAATATAATTTTTACCAAACATGTATTTAAATTCAACTAATCACAGCTAGTTATATTTTTTAAAAACTTATTTTTTTAAAATTATAATCACAAAAGCTAACTAAAAAACAAATAGTCTTGGATGATTGTTATAGTTAAATAGTGATTTTTTCACAAACAAATTATATTGATAGTTTGGTAATTGTTTTAATGAATCAACACGATATATTTAGATCTAGAAAAAAGTTTACTTGAATTAATCAAGATAGTGATTTAAAAAGATAATAATATAATATTTGATTATTAAATTGACTTTAATTTTTTTTCAAGTGATTTTATAATTAGTTTTATTGTGATGAAGGATTTTGTTATTTATCAAACTGTTAGATCTTTCAAAATTAGGCTAAGAAATTGTTGTTTATGGTAATTTTGTTATTTTTCCTAGATTTTTTTTAGATTTATTATTTTATTTTAGGTTTTGTGTTGTTGTTTGTTTTTTTAGTAGAAATATGACTTTTCAATGTATATAAAGGTCTCGTATGCCTCAAAAGAAACTAATACTATTAGATTTATTTTTCAGGAAATAAAACTGTAAATTTAAAATTTATAACTCTTTTTAATCAATAAAATTCTATATCTTTTGTAACTGTTAATGTTTTTCTAACTTGTTCTTGCATCATTGACACTTGTTAGAGGGTTGTCTTACATCATAGACACAACATTAGTTTACCTTACATTTTAATGATTTTTAAAAATTAATTTTGATTTTTTATATTTATTTTTCTATGCATTGAGAAGATTTAATTATTTTTTTATATTATTGTTGGTGTTCAGGTTAACTTGTATATATCGTGACTAATTTTACGGGCCTTAAAATTAACAACCATATAAATCTTTAGTGGTATTGAGATTTATAAGACTCATACTAGTGATTTTCAGCGAGTAAATTTAAAGTCTAATCAGTTAAGTTACATCTTTTAAAATTTAAAACCTTTAATTTTTACCATCCATCAATTAGTGTACTTCAAATTACCAAGATTTTTCAAGTTGGAACAACAAAGGCCTATTTTATGCAAGCATGAAGGGGGTATGCTAAATTCATAAAAATAGGTTTTTGTTTTCGTTTCCATAATTAAATATGTTTATATTTATATTTATATTATATGGTTTCGAAATAAAAACCAAATGTTACCATGCATCAAGGGATAAAGGAAATATAAGATCCCAGTTTCAATAAATATATCTCTTGGGATAATAATTTCCTTGGAGGAAACTTGTTCATATACATAAGGTTTTTTTTTTTATCTTAAAAAAAAAGAAAAAAAACGCTGCTTGTGCCACCCATAAATATTGAAAACCATTGGCGGACGGTGGCAACCTTTGTGCGCCGACAAAAACGACGCGTTTCTTTAGTTTCTAAATTTTAACGTGTGGTCCATCCAATACATAAACTGGCATGCAGGGTTGACCCGGTATTGGCCTCTCCTAAATCAGTCTTGATCGGAAAAATAAAAATAAAAATAAATAATGTTTTGACTGGCTTTCTCTACCTGCGATCAAACTATAACTTATATATATTATTGAATAAAATTTTAAAACTATAGCTTTAGCACTGAGTCTTTTCAACAAATCAACCCAAAACATGTTTTAAAATTAGAACAGCATGCAACTTGGTGATACTTTCCAGCTAATACTATGATGCAGGGATCCAATTTCTATTCATTGATGTGGTCATTCAAGATGTCATGAAGGTTCACTCCATCAGAATCTACACATGCTTAATTTGATCCCTCCAATGTTATACTTGACCGACCCGTCCCAGATTAGCAATTAGATTCAAAGCCCGATGATTTAGACCCTAAGATTGAGAGCATGTTTGGAAGTGTGGTTGTGTTGCTTTTCAAATAGCTTTTCGTGTCAAAATACATGCCAACGATATTTTTTTATTTTTTAAAAATTATTTTTGATATCAGCACATTAAAATGATTTGAAAACATTAAAAACATATTAATTTGAAGTTAATAAAAAAATAAAAAATTTTCAAATTTTTTCAAAAGCGCTTTTGAAACGCAGAAACAAACAGGCTCTCGAAATTGTGATATAATAGTGTTGTTACTTGGTATTTTTTAAAGTATTTTTTATCAGAAAAATATTAAAATAATATTTTTTATTTTAAAAAATTAATTTTGATATCAACATATCAAAACAATGAAAAAACACCATAAAAATTAATTTTAAACAAAAAAATAAAATAAAATTTAAATTGTTTTTGAAAATGTTTTTAAAATAATAAAATAATTTAAAATAATAGAACAAACTGGCTTTGAGATCTCTACATTGCTGTGCACCTATTAGAAACATAAAATTCAGGATGCTTCTATGTAAATAAATAAATATATTTAAATTTTTTATATGATGTTTTATTAAGTTGTTTAAATTTAAATTCAAATTGAGTGCATATAATTTAATATATGGTACAAATGATAATAATTTATTAATTTATTTCTGTCACTCGATCCAAATAATTGTATTTAAGATAATGAGGTTAGGCAGATAATAAAAGTATTCAGATCAACAAAAACAATGCAATCTATTCATTTAAATATATATACATATGTTACTAAATAATTATATGATTAAAGCACTACTATGAAATCTGGATTAGTTTAATGGTTGACTGGCTAATCCATAATCTCAATTGGTATATATTAATTAAAAAACATGAAAAAAATTAACTTATCATGTCCCAATAAAAAACATTAAGTTAATTCATGTCCTAATTAATTAGGGTAAAACTTAATAAAAAAATTATAAATTGTTTTAAAAACCATTTTTTATTATTTTTTATTAACACGTATGTCTAGGTCAATTTACACATATGTAAATTAATTTTATAAATTCTGAAATTAATAATTAAATAAATTTTTAATAATTCTAAAATTTATAAACTTATATTAGTTTTTATTTTAAATGAACTCGGATCTTGTACTATATTAAGCCCAGGTTTTAAAATCAAAATAAAAAGGAAAGGAAAGAATGAAAAGTTATCTTTTCATCCTTAATTGGTGTGCTGCTCTCTCCGTTAACGTGCCCCGTTCAACGATCCTTCAAGAGATTGTAAGTTTACAAATCTTCAAAAACAATGTACTCTATTCATTTATATATTTATATTTTATTTTTATATGTTCCTAAATAATTATATTAGTAAAGCATTAAGGTATATATTTTTTAAAATATTTCAAATCACCATTATAAAATTTGTTGAGTCAACTCCCATGTATATAGTTAATGAAAAAATAGGAAAATAATTTACCTAACCTATCTCCATCAAAAACTCAAGTTAATTAATGAACTAATTAAATAAACTGGGATTTATTTTTAGGTTTAGTAAGGATTAAGTTTTAAAATTAAAAAATAAATCTTTTTATTATTTAAATAGTATTTAAAAATATAATAAATATTATTTTTATTTCTAGGTTTAGTCGGGTTTTAAAATAATAAATAAAATATTTTTTCATTATTAAGACAATATTTAAAATTGAGAGAGGGATTGATTTTAAAAATATTTTTTTATTTTGAAATATATTAATAATATTTAAAATTGAGAGAGAGATTGATTTTTTTTAAAAAATTATTTTGCAATATATTAAATTAATATTTTTTATTTTTTTAAAAAATTATTTTTAATATTAAAATATCATAACAATAAAAAAATAATTTTATTTTAAATAAAACTTTTTAAAAGTATGTTTTTCACCGAAAAAGAACACGCCTGGACTCACAGTGTCAACTTGCCCCTTTGAACGATCCTCCACGGGGGTGGACGTTCACAACAAAACAACCACCTCCATCTTAGCTCTCCTCGGCTCCTCTTCTTTATAACCCACCCAAACACACTACACAAAATCTCCTCCTCCTTCTTTCCATCTTTTTTCTTGATTCTTGGTTTTAACGTTTGTTAAATGGCCGAGGATCACGTTTCATGTAAGCCTCGTTTGTTTCATTTCTTTTGAAAGTTGTTGCTTTCTTGATTGATCAAGACTGTGTTTCTTGTTTCTTTGTTTTCGTGTATTTTTCAATGATTTTTTATCTGGACTTGAGCAGGTTTTGTGTTTCTCTCTCTCTCTCACTTTTTTTAATCTTTGTGTGTATGATTCTTGATGTTGGTTTTCTTGTTTTATGTTTAATAGATCTTTTTTTTATGCCTTAAATCTTGTAGAAAAGATCTTCTTTTTCATCTTGTTCAATGAAGTTGGTATATACTATCTTATAGTGCTTTACAGGGGCCGCCTCTGAAAATGAGAGGGTGGAATTTTTGAATTTATCAATGAGTATTGATTTGTGATCTAATCAAGATTGCAACTTTGTGTTAAATTACAGTTATTTGGAATTATTTCAGTTTGAATCTGATTTAAAGAGAATTTCTTTCCATGGGAATAGCATAGGGAGTTATGGTTTTACTATTGGCTCCAATTTGGTGAGTGTTATTGCATTTATTTATATGTAGATTGTTCTGATATCAAGCAATTGGAAATGTGTAGGTGATTCTAATGATCATGCATCGAATATGAAAGGAGCGAACGACTCGCTAGTTGTTTGTTTTGGGGAAATGTTGATTGACTTTGTACCGACAGTTGCTGGGGTTTCATTAGCTGAAGCACCTGCTTTCAAGAAGGCTCCTGGTGGTGCTCCTGCTAATGTGGCTGTTGGTATATCAAAACTAGGTGGTTCATCAGCTTTTATGGGCAAGGTGCATTTGAATATAGTTTTTTGATTACTTGTTTGGGTCATGGCTTGCTGTTGTAGCGCATACCTAAGACCTGGGTAGTTTGTCTTCATTTGGTGTTTTCGGCATCGAGTAAATGAAGCCTAAACTTTTGGCCAAATGGTATTTTGTACTTCCGCACTAAACTGTCTGTTGCAGGATCTCGGCCCCCTGTTTTTTTTATTTTAATGTTAACAATTTTGGTGTCTATGAATCCTTACTTTTTATATAGGCATGGTCTTAATTCTACTTCTCTGACCTTTTATTGCAGCTTGGTGATGATGAATTTGGGTATATGCTATCTGACATTTTGAAACAAAACAATGTGGGTAATTCTGGCGTGCGATTTGATTCCACTGCAAGGACTGCTCTGGCATTTGTTACCCTTAGAGCTGATGGTGAACGTGAATTCTTGTTTTTCCGTCATCCAAGTGCAGACATGCTTCTTCGAGAATCAGAATTAGACATAAACCTCCTTGAGCAGGTCTATTTTCTCTTTTGGTTTTAGTAAGAAGATGGAGCATATTAGAGCATATTGCACAAGATTTTCAAACTCTTAAAATTGTATTGATTGCAGGCCAGGATCTTTCATTATGGATCGATTAGTTTGATTTCAGAACCTTGCAGGTCAAGTCAATTTGCAGCAATGAGAATTGCCAAAAAGTCTGGCAGCATCCTTTCTTACGATCCAAATTTGAGATTAGCATTGTGGCCATCAGCAGAGGCTGCTCGGGAAGGCATAATGAGTATATGGGATCAAGCTGATGTTATTAAGGTGTGGTCGAAGTTGAAAAACTATGGAATTTATATATCGTTGTGTGAGCTAAAAATACTAGCTCAAATTTGTTATTTGGAAGTGAAACAATTGCAAGCATTTCATTATAATATATTTGGAACTCATTGTGTTAATTATATGGAATTGTAGATAAGTGAGGAAGAAATAACATTCTTAACTGGATGTGATGATCCTAATGATGATAAAGTGGTCTTGGACAAGCTTTTTCATCCCAATCTGAAGCTTTTGATTGTAACTGAAGGGTCAAAGGGTTGTCGATACTACACCAAGGTAACCTTACTGATTATTATTGCCTAATAATCTTCATGTCAAACATCAATGGTCAAATTAAATGCAGGATCTAGATTCTAATCTACCCTGAATTCTATACCAGGCAAACTCCAAAAAGTCCCTTTAGTGTTTTTAGGAGAGGCTATCTGTTAAAACTACTCATCCTCTTTGTTTTTATTGTTGGTGATGTTAGTTCATGTTAGCTAAGGACCTAAAGTAACTAACCATTTGGTGAAAAGAAACAAGCTATTAGTCTTGGTTATTGTGTTTGGATAACATTTAAATCATATTAATAACTGATGTTCTGTTCCAATCTCTGTTATAATCTTTTAAGAAACGTCAGTCATCGATGTCCTACCAGATGATTTGCGGATAAATGTTTTTTTGCTGAATTTCTTCAATAATGACAGAATGCAAGTACTGAAGTCGGAACCTTACAAAGTGAATGATCTGAATGAATCTGGGGAGCCGTTTGATATGTAGGTGTATCTAATGCAAAATTACTTATAGGTCTTGGTGGTTTAGGTGCTTGATAGTCAGTAAAACCTTTTGAAACTGTGAAAAATGAATTGTAACTGCAGCACTGCTAGTAGGTGGTTACTTTCAGATATGATATGATTTGATATTCCGATGTGGTACTAGAATTGACAATCAACAAAAAACCAATGCAGGAATTCAAAGGCTGGGTTCCTGGTGTTAAGGTGAAACCCGTTGACACAACTGGTGCGGGTGATGCTTTTGTTGGTGGGATGTTGAGCAACCTAGCTTCTAACCTAAATCTATTTGAGGTACGTGTGTAGCTGCATACAAAATCAGAATGGTTTAGAACCTTTTCTCCCATTGTTTATTTTGAAATCTTTCAATCAATATAACTTCAAGTGGATTTCATAAAACCTTCAGAATGTTCCTTTGCTGCAAAACAGAACAGAATCTTACGTTACGAGTCTAGACACCATTTGTATTGAAACTGTGCGAATAAGCTTGCACTTGAGCAGTATTAATATTTCCCAAAATATAATGTCATTGTAAGAACTCCTAATTCAACCTTAACCCCTAACTGTCCCCTTCCCTCCTTTCATGCAGGATGAGAAGCTATTAAGAGAAGCTCTTCTATTTGCAAATGCCTGCGGTGCTGTGACAGTAACAGAGAGAGGTGCTATCCCTGCACTACCCACGAAAGATGCTGTCCTTAAACTCTTAGGGAAAGTCCCTGCAAGATGAAAAGCTTAGACATAAATCAGTCCTTGACGTTCTCTCTTTTATGAAGTTGTAGTAGTTCAAATTCGTTGCATAGCACCTAGGGTTTTTGCTTGCTGTATTTCTCTTCCACGCTCATGAACCCAAAAGGTTGTAATAGATTAGGTTATTTAATAAAATCAATGACCTCAAATCTTGTCTCAACATGATCAGATGAACTGCAACTCAATCCCGTGCTCGAGTTGTTTTGCACATAGCAGCTATGGCCTCTAGATCAAAAGCGTGATAACTTTCTTTTCTACCCATGCTTGTTATAATCGTTCCATCTGACCAATCTATGGCTTAAGACATTCGGAAGATGGAATAAATCTTCGAGCACGGCGATGGCCAAATAACCAAAAGTGATCAAGATCAAGAATATGCGAAAGTTTCTTCTTTTTTTAAAAAAAAACTGGGATATACTGAAGATTTGTTTGTGTTTTAAATGTATGTTTTAAAAAATTTAATTTTTTTATTTTAAATTAATATTTTTTATTTTTATATGTGTTGATATTAAAAATAATTTTTAAAAAATAATTATTACTATAGTGGTGTAAAATCCGAGAGTGATTTCACATAAATTCCCAAAAATTGCTGCATCTGCATCGCTTTCTCTTATCCCACGTGCCTATAACATGCAGGGCACAGAAGTCAAGGAGGTCCAGTGCTCCTCACGATTGATGTGGCTCACGTTACACAACTCTCCATCCAATAAGCAATTTAGGTATTGCACATAATTAAATTTTCTGTCAAGTACATTTTCACCCTCGTAAATTCACCAATTTTCCACTTCAAACCTTATCGTTCAAGATTTTTCAATATTTATTTTTTTAACATCCACAAGAATCAATAGTTGAATACAAACTAAAAAAAACGTAAAAGAAAAGCACATGAACAATCTATGAGCTTCGGCTTCTCAATCTAGCACCATAACATCCTTCTTATAACAAAAACCTGGTATAAATACAAGAATGACATTGAGCAATTTTCTTCACTTCTACCTCCAGATTATGGATTCTTAAATCAAATTCTAACACCCCAACAGATAAATGAAAAGGGTAGCGGGAGAAAAATACAAAAAAAAAAAAAACAAGAAGATAAAGCTTCAAGAAAGTCAATGAAACCCTAGAAAAAGAAGTGATTTAGTACGATGAGATTAGTGATTTAGAATACTATCTTAACAACAACAATAAAAAATTAAATTTTAAAGTACTAGAAGTGTAACGTTCTAGATCTGAGGACCAAAATCAAATTTTGCCCTTGGAATGTTTTTAACAACTTGGGGACAGAGACTTCCACGGCGTAATTTCAAACCGATTTCCAACCCGAAATATCGGCCACCGAAACACTCTCCCTAAATAATTAAAAAAAGGCAAATAGCAGAAATAAATCAGTGATTTTTCTTTTTTTTTAAGTTTCAGAGTTTGTTTAATTGATAATTACTCGAATTTTTTGGTGAGAAATCACACATTACTTCCCAAAGGGAAACAGGAAGAAAGAAATGTCGTCTTCCACTAATCCGTCGACGATGCTTAAACCGGAGATCGGACCTGACGGTCTTCCTCGAGAAGCTCCGGTCATTGCCTACACAGAGAAGGTATCTCTCCTTTCCTCTATCTTTTGATAATTACTAGAATTTATCTATCGAGTATTCGAATTTGAATAATTGTAATTTTTTATTTATTTTTGAATGATAGATAATCGAAGAAGAGCAACTTCAATTAAGGAAGTAAGTTTTACATTTCTCGTTTATTTAGATCTGTAATTATCTTTTGATAATGAGAAAATGTAGTGACCTTAATGTGTTCATTTAGTGTTTTAATCTTTTACTGAGAAAAAATTAGAAAAAAAAAATATTTGATGTAGTCTGTTTTGATTATCGGATTCGAGAAAAATAGTTGCTGTTGTTGTTCACCAAGTTTAGTAGAATTTATTTATTTTAAGAAATTTGAAGGGAAAAAAAAAGATGAAGTTATTAGAATTTTATTTATGAATTTTTTTGGTACTTCTTTTATTTTTTAATCTGTTTCTGAGAAAGAAAAGGATTAGAAGAAAAAAAATTAATTTGGTGAGGCCTGTTTTGATGATTGGATTCGAGAAAATTAGTTGTTGGTCGCTAAGTTTAGTAGAATTTAATTCTTTTAAGAATATTGAAAAAGAAAAGTTAGTTATTAGAACTTTATTTATGAATTTGTTTGGTAATTTTTGTGTTAGATATATTGAGGAAAATTATTCGAAGATTCGTGATGTAGAGCGAGAGCTAGGGAATCTTACGTTAGAGATGAAACTAACAGCTGGACCTAAGAAAGCAGGTTGGTATGTATGTTTCCATACAGTCGTTTTTACTCTTGTTTATAGTAATTTTGCTGACTTTAATGTTGGTTTTGTGGATGGTGGTGTGTGGATGAAATTAAGCGCTTGAACATCTGAGGAAGAAGATAGAAATGTCAACAGAAAGAATTCGTGTTGCTAAGTTGAAGGAAGAAGAAGCATGGAAGGTTTGCTGCTTTTCATGGCGAGAACTCAGTAGTTTTTATTGATAATAATAATAGTTGCATTTGAATGATTTAGTACAAAGTGGATAGCATGATTTCCGGATGCCAAAAATGGATTGTTGATGTGTTTGGTAGAATGTAATGTTGGGTCGTAGAATTTAATGTTGGGTGATGGAAGAAGAAAGTGATAACTGTTTCCTTCTTCAGTTGCGTTACACTGTGTTCTGCATATTTTCTTCTTTCATTGCATTACCTTTTTCAACCAAATTTAGCCTCAATTATTTGAAACTAAGAAACCTTTACATTAAAGTAGAGGAAACTTTAAGATTAGAACTGGTCTAGCATGTCCATATTATCTTGAACACGACTGATATAATGGGATGAAGTTTTTAGCTAAGAACTCAATGTTGAACAATGATAGGGCTATACATATCAATGCTTTTTGGTTGTGGGTGAAGACACCGCAACCACGCATGCACCAAATCTTTTTTTGTTTTGTTTTTGTTTTTCTCGGACAGATAAATATTAATTTGATGTGGAAATTAGATATTACAAAAAAAGAATAAGGTACCTTCCAATATAAGTACAGCAAAAGAAGAAAATGCAAACACCTTCTGCCTTCAGCCCCTTCAAAAATCCACTGAACTTGAAAAAGGCCACACAAAAGGAAAAAAAATCAAAGGTCATTTCTGTTTTGCTAAGTGAAGAGGTGCTCTTTAAGCACTAGTTTCTGTTGCTTTTGGGATCATTGGATGTTATTGATTGCCCTGAGATGGAAATGTACTATTTGGCTCATGATTTTCTGGCTGCACACAATGGCAGTTTGTTAGATATTTTGTTGTTAATACATTAATGTTGTTGATAAATTGAATAAATCAAAAGGTCATTTCTGTTTGCTAAATGAAGAGGTGCTCTTTAAGCACTAGTTTCTGTTGATTTTGGAATCGTTGATTGCCCTGAGATGGAAATGTACTATTTGGCTCATGATTTTCTTGCTTCACACAATGGGAGTTTGTTAGATATTTTGTTGTTAATACATTAATGTTGTTGATAAATTGAATAAATCAAAGTCATTTTGGTTTTTGTAAATGAAGAGGTGCTCTTTAAGCACTAGTTTCTGTTGATTTTGGAATCATTGATTGCCCTGAGATGGAAATGTACTATTTGGCTCATGATTTTCTTTCTGCACACAATGGGAGTTTGTTAGATATTTTGTTGTTAATACATTAATGTTGTTGATAAATTGAATAAATCAAAGTCATTTTGGTTTTTGTAAATGAAGAGGTGCTCTTTAAGCACTAGTTTCTGTTGATTTTGGAATCATTGATTGCCCTGAGATGGAAATGTACTATTTGGCTCATGATTTTCTTTCTGCACACAATGGGAGTTTGTTAGATATTTTGTTGTTGATAAATTAATGTTGTTGATGAATTGAATTTCCTTTTTCATTTGATATGATGTGGATGTTATTGGCTGTCTCTAGGCCTTGGAAGCAGCAACAAAAGTTGTGAAGGAAGAGGAAGAAATTAAGCAGAAGTTGTGTGAAGACTTAAATCAGCTGGTAAGGATCTTCTATGAATGAAGATGTGAATTTTGCTACTCCTTAACATTTGTTGGATTTTCTCAATTCAATTTAATATATTGAGCAGGTTCAAGAAAGCAGTCACTCTCAGTTTTCTAGACTTGAAGAATTAAAAAGACGTCTGGAAGCCTTAAACCCGAGTAGAGCATCTATGTCTTCTCCTCCTCATGTAAGCACTCTTTTTATCTATTTATCTATGGATGCATGTAGTGAGTTGCTTGGACAACACTCTCATGGCCTACAGTCACATGGATTTTTCATGGTCATGGGTCAACCACTGCACTTTCTTTAGGAGTGCGCTGTGCATGTGTAAAAAGGTACTGTTTATGTGCGTGCAACTTACTTAGCCAAAGGAGGCAGTGAAGGGTTATTGCTATTTTCTTAGTGTAGAAGATGACAATAAACATGCTAAGAAACAGCATCTGATACTGGCGATTTGGAAATTTGTATTTGGACATATGCACAGGAACTCAATTGAGACATTTTAGGCTTTGAAATTGTTTTGGACTGCACTAAAATGAAAATTTTATTTTATAACACCTGGTGTGTTCTGAAAGTGACTGCCCTTAAGGAGGCTAATGTTCTAGAATGTTTCATGTACTGTCATGATTTGGCTGCATTTCTCGTGTCCATTGCATCAAGCTATTCCCCTGTGTGCTAGTATGGGCATATACTGATATACACATTGCATTTCAGTAGAGAAATTGTTGAAAGTTTGCACTTGTGGTCATCCACAGGATGCAAAACCAATGGGACCTGCATCAAACAGCCCCGTTCAAGATGCCTCAATTCCACTTTCAACAGCTCCTGATGCTGGAGTCGCTGAAATTGCACATAACCAAGCAAATGGGGGAAACGTCCAAGTCACAAATGGGAAAAATCAACAGCCTAATGTTGAGGGATTAGGAGGAAAGAAAAAGGTCCATTTCGAAGGAAGGGGAAGGGGAATTGGGGCTGTTCCCAAGGGTAGAGGACCTGCCCAACCTGGCTGGACAGGGGCAGGATTTGATGTAGATGGTAGAAGCTAGAATCAAGATTTCAAGCGCTCCTCCTATACGGAAACTGTGAGACAAGCACTCCTACTTTGCTCTACCGAGAATATTCTTTATTCCATATATGCTGGTTGATTTTTCTCACTGTATTTATTAAATTGGATATAGCTTGTTGATATAGATAATTAAATCTGACTTTGTGAACTTCACATTGCTACTTAACCCTTGCGCCATCAATTCATCCTTCAAGGAAGTATGGTTCAAGAATATTTCTTGTTCCTCGCTTTTCAACTGGCCAAAGCTGTGAACTGAAACTCTAGACTCTCCTTTTCCTTCGGCATGTAGGTTAATATTTTCTGCCCATGTATTCTCTCACCTGTCCACAATCTGTTGATAAAGAAGTGTTATTTGATCTGACTTGCCACCATTGCTTCACTTATGTCTTAAATAGGGTCCTTCGATATTGTTTTCCCATGTAAAACAAACATTTTTCCTCGTTCTCACTTTTCTACTGGACATAGCCGTAAGCTGAAATCTCTACACTCCTCCTTTCCCTTCATATGTTGCTAGATGTTTGAAGTGCTTTTGGATCTGACTTCCTTGGCCTGCTTTGCTCGGGTTACAAATGGAGTCCTTCAACCAAGAACAGCATGGTTAAATTTTCTTTCTTCTTTTCAGCATTCCTTATCATTTCATTTTTGACCCTTCGGAGACTACCAATAAAAAATTTACATTTTACTGTCAAGAACGCAGGAAAGAAGAGGTGGGCTTTGAATTGAATAGTTGAAATCTCATCACCTCTGCAGTCGGTAATAAAAATCCTACGCTCTGAAACTGGGTCCTTTTCTAGTGTCCTCTATGTAATCATGCAGTTGTTTGACACAGAATGCAGCGTTTCCAAATCCTTCCTTTTCCTCTTCCATCTAGCACTTGGCATTATCTGTTTCTTATTGCCCATTTTAAGATTCCAGAATTTGTTCTCTTCTTGAACTACTCATTTGCTTCTTCACTTTCATCATGCATTCTGAGAAAGCATTATTGAATTCACATGCACAAGTCTTTCAACTAATCATTGCGTATGTATATATATTTTAGTTCTAAATTGCCCTTAGGCAGCACAAAACCGAGTTTGAAAATCCTAGGAATGTTGCTCTCTTCAGCACAGTTATTAAACCCAATCTACTATCGACTCAATACAAGGCCTGAATCATGGGATGGTTAGTTAATCAAGATTAATCTAGATTATTTCAAAAAAAGAATTAAAAAAGTCAAAATTATGTTGTTTTGGAAGAAAAAAAAAACTCAAAAGGTTTTGACTAGAGAACCTGTTTTTTTTTTTTTTTAATCTTATCGGATCACACGTGGTCTATTTTCCTTTCTATTTTTTTGTGAAGCTCGGTGGAGGCCAACTCTTCAGTTGACCAGTCGGGCTGGTTTTGATGTCATAGGAGTGCTCTTGAGCTGCATCATGTTACCACATATTATTTTCAATTGCAGGCCATTAGAGGTAAATAAGTAAATTTTCAGTATATAAATTCTAGTGCTCAGTCATCGTCAAAGCAAAAATCCACCGGAAATGAGGGGTGGTCTTGTTGAAGCAACTACCAAACTGTACTGGGGATCAGGTGACCATGTGAGCATATAATATACTACCAGCTTCTTCATCTGCTTCTACTGTGGGTGGGATTGATACTAAGACAGCATACGTTTGTGTACAGCAACACATGACTTGACTTGATTGATCTATTCATCTTTATGTGGTCTGAGTGGTTGGTGTCCTAATCTGCAAATCTGTCATGCCGCTTTTAATCCTTCATGGTACGAATGACTGTTCATCTAGAAGAAATTCATACTGTTTCAAATTCAAACTTCGAGGTGCAGTTTCATGAAAAATTATAATCTTGGGCGTTACCACCACAATGCTGGCATGGAAAAATAAGGGTGATGCTGCTGCGTATTCAAATCGATAGTTTTATTGAATTTGTCGTTTTATTTTAGGCTCCTTTCCTTTCAGCGCCGCATTAACCTTGTGGCTGGAGCTGAGCTGCCTAGAAATGCCGGTCCAAATGATTGCCGGTGTTATGGGCTAGGGAAGGTGCCCAACTATAGTCATTCAACTTGTCCTTCCTAGTAGGATGATTTGAAAAACTTGAAATTTGGAGTTCAGTTTAATAGATGTTGATTCGGTTAACCTTTGTTTTTGTATTTTAAAAATATTTAATTTTTTTATTTTTTTTTATTTTAAATCAATATATTTTTTTATTTTTTTATATTATTTTGATGTATTGATTTTAAAAATAATTTGTAAGTAATAATAAAAAATATTATTTTGATATATTTTTAAGTAAAATTACATTGAAAAGCAACCGTAACTACACTCTCAAATAGGCTAGTTAAATTAAATTTGGTGGGGTTAAAAGTAAAAATATAGAAAAAATAAAAATAAAAAATATTATTTTAATAAAAAATTTGATTGAGTTAATTTTTTTATTAAGATTTTTATTTATAAAAATTCTTCTTAAATAAAATGAATCTAACAAACATGTCAAACTTATAAAATTTAGATTTAGTTGTCAATCAAATCTAAGATAATATTGGTTTAATAAAATTGTCAATTTCAAGGGCCCTTTGATCTTTTCCTTTAGTTTTTTTTGTAATTACCAAGGAAATCAAGGGCATTTTTATCTTTTAATATATATTAAATCTTATTTAATTATAGAAAATTATTTACGCGTGCAATTCAAGCACTACCTGTGAGAGGTTTTGTGCCCTTTGAATGGCACATGTGATGCTTTCTGATGTTATAAAATGCCTTTTCACCATATTATTAGATAGGTCATTGTTGATTTTTCTCTCCGTATGATATATGTCAATAGTAGTGAAACTATTTATTATTCGCCAGCCTTTCTTTGTTTTTTTAATTGTCATTTTTTTAGATTTTTTTATATAATTGATTAATTTTTCTGATTGTATTTTTCAACATTTGATTTATTGTGGATTGGATTTCACTATTTTTTCATGTATCCTGTTTCAATGTAATAACCTTATTCATGAGTTTGAAAAATTAATGCATGTCGATGTCCTTTATTTTTAATTTTATTATTTGATATTAGTTTTTTTTTAAATAGCGCTGTAATTTTTTTTAATTTTTTTTATTAGATTATCTCAGTTTTATAATTTAGACCGTGAGTTTTGCGATATGCCTTCTTATTACCCAGGTTACATGTCTATCACATTATTTTGAATAAACTTGAGCCGGTTTTTTATCTTTTTTTCTTTCTATATGTACTTCCTAAGGGTATTTTTTTTCAAGTTCTTGTGGTTTTTTTTATATAAAAAAATCTTTTTATTAATTTAAAAATAAAAAATAAAATAAATTCTCCTAATTAAAACTAACTCATTAAATTCAGTTGGGACTATAACCCAATTCATCCATTTATTTAAAACGTAATTGCATCATCTAAATATTTTTTTACACTAAAAAATATGGACCCACAAGAAAACGTGTGCTCTTTGTATAGTTAGTAACTAGCAGTAAGAGATGGTGGAAGCTGCATGAAATTTGAATTTCAATATATAATGTAGTGCCGATAAAGGCAGGTGATTTCTGGTTTGGCATTTAAACCTACGTCTAATTAATTACACCAAACTTGCTCTGCCATCTGACTCCTAGCAACAAAGTTATTGAATTCTTCTGCTCTTTGTATATTGATTAAATGATTAAAAGCCAAAAGCCATCTTCTGTTGTTTATGTTTTCAAAAACTAAGGTTTGCCCTAGGTACTAACCCTCCAAAATAAAGGCTAGCTAGTTTCACAAGCCGTTCTCTTCCCTTCTATTCAAGAAACTGGTCCCGTGAACAAGGAAATATTGGTGGGTTGGGTCTCTAGCTACTTAGAGCATTTGGCCATTGAAGGACTCCAACTCTGTGGAGATGTATTGGAATTACGTAGACACCAAATGGTGGATCAAGAAGTGACAGCGGCTAGGGCCGTCGTGTTTTCCATTCAAAATCTCTGCTGGCAGCCTAATTTCCGCCATTAACACGTAATTCTGCAAGAGGGCAGAAATCCACACCACCAGTCCAACATAGAAGACTTGCCTACCTATATTAATCAGTCACTTTCTGTCAAATAAACGAGGTAAAATAAATACATTGAATATTGGCCTCATTGAGGTTATGGTCCTCACACTGCTAGGCTTTTTTTTTTTTTGGTAAAGTACCATGCCACTGTTTGTATGTAAATGCTTCTGTTCTTGCATCGATTTGTGGAATAGCAAATCTTAGTGCTTGACATGACATGATTTGGCTATGTTCTTGAGTATTAATTATTTATCATCAATGTGAAGTCTTAATTTCAAAAACAATGTGTCATCTTTGCCTATTGTTGATCCTCTATACCACGGCTCCAAGTAAAAGTTCCTTTATATTTATGAATTTGGCTTGTCAAGAAGTTCATCGGACCTTAGACTACATAAAGGCAACAGTTCTTGTTTATTTTGGATTTTTTATTATTAGCTAAATTAAGGTTGCGATCACTAAATATTTCAAAATAAAAAAATAGATATAAAAAAGATAAAAATATATTTTATTAAATTGAAAGACACAAAAATATAAAATAAATTTGTTTATAAAACAATTCTAAAATAAATTTGTATACTTTTAAAACAGGAAGTATATAAAAACATATCATATCTATCTCTACTATTTATGTCTTTTTTATATTATTACAATAACTAAACACTATTTAAATAAACAACTGTCTTACCAGTAGATCTAATATATAGTTCTTATTTACTTTGAAGATGCTCAATGATTTTGGTAATTAAGCTAGGTAAATTATCATCTCTTTTTAATTACATGTGAGAAGTTCATCAATTAAACACCTAAAATTAACAATAATGATATGTTAATTGTACATTAATCAATCCAAAACTTGTTTGTGGTTTAATGAAACCTCTTGGTTGGAGGGAAGAGAATAATTCAAATGAATTTGAGTATCTCCAAAAACACAGCTAGCAACCTATCATAACATTTTATTTTATTTCTTGTTTCCTGTTAGGTACAAGGAACAAATCCATGGTTGCAGCTCAACAAATATACATACAAGTAAGAAACAAATTGGAAAAGTTGTCCTGGAGCTGGAGGCGCTTGTCTAAAAAGCAAAAGCAATTATTTGGTGGCATTTTTCGTGAAAATAGAAATCTCCTGTTTCATTGATTCTTTCTCACCCCTTCAATATAAAGGATATGTTAGTTGTAATTGATTTCCCTTGCTAGCGAGGACATGTACAATACCAAGCTAGCTAGTGAGTAGTGACACATCAAGGAAAGAATATAAATAATTTGAAGGCATATAATTTTGTGGTCCTGTGTAGCCTTGTGGAATGAGCTAGCAAGAGCCTGTAAGCTGCAAATGGACAAACCCTAATCTCAGTGAAGTAGGATTTTATCGAACAGTTCCTATATAGAGAGATGGCCCTGATCAATGGCATGGCCACTATGTCTGGGAAACAGCCTTCCAATTCACATGATGGGCAAAAGTGTATCAATTTTGGTCCCCCACTACGTGCTCAAACGCATTGTTTTGAAATTATAATCAACAACATCGTAGATAGAGGTTTAATCCTATCATCTATGCGTACATTTTATCATTCTCATCCCTCCATGTTTTTCTTTGCAACTTTGTAACTTTTAGTGAAGAATGTCTTGTACTATGTTGAACCTAATTGCGGTGTCTTACACACTAAAATGTGCAAAATGATCCCTGTCTTTCTGGGACAGCATAGTTCACATGGCATGCCTATGCTGCACTGTTGACGAGAGCACAGGGGGTAACGGAACTCTAGCTAGGCAGAAGTTTCAAAGCTTGTAGTAAGTAGTAAGTACTAAACTAGGTGGTA